AAAATACAAAGATGTAGACCGTCACCATTTAAAATTGCTGTTTTATCTTGCATTACTTGAAATGCATCAAATTGTTCAGATCCCTTTCAGAAGTGAGAAATAGTTCTTTTGACACCCAAACTAAGGCGCCTACTGAAGTGCCTGGAGTAAGTTTTTTCAGTCGCGATTTGGTAAAATGGCAATCTTTAAACCCCCATAACTTTGCGAAAAATGATTACAGGTGAAATATCTTTTCAAATTTAAGCTCAAGACAATACCTTTCGAATGATATGGAAAAATTCCGTCAAAAATGGCTAGTTAACAAGTTGTCTGAAGAAACAAAAACCCACCCCGCGCACAAATATTCCGTTTCTTTTGTTACGAAAGTCGGAACAATAACCGTTTTTTGACCGATTAACCATTACAAGTTTGGCGAGCATTTTTCAGCCCGAAACTATTCTGCAATTTCGAGGCAAGAAGATGGTACAGAAATTCTGGCAGTTTTTCCTAAAACAATAGCACAATAGCGTTGCAAGTTTTCTTATAATGCGCTTATGGTCCTTATAATTTTGGTGGCTGAATATTGGTGTTATAATGATTTTGGGAGAGCTCGTAAAATCACTTTGGTCGTTTCTAAAGATCATGTTAATGAAAAAACAATGTTCCGAGATAGGTGCATAACATCCGGGAAGTTTGGGTCGCTCGAGATTAGGCCGTATTACAATTAAGTACCTGGTGATCGTAATTTTATGTTCTGATGACAACCAAGTTGCCGAAATCAAAATGAGCAACTATATGCTAAGGTGCTAAGGATTTTAGAATGCCGTTTTTAGCAGACCAATCTTTTAGCAGACTCAGATTAGTTGGCAAGTCAGAAAGCTAACTTCAAACGCGGCGTTGGCGATAAGCGACTGCTGCCCACTGCGTTTCAATTCAACACGAGTGTAATTGTGCGCGTAAATCTTTGTTTTGCCGCTCATTTAGACTGTTGTGTTTTTGAAGTTGATAGTTTTACTGACAAATCGGGAGATAGTTGTCTTAATTTGGGAAGCTTGACCCAAGAATAAGCGTCTTTTCGAGTTGGTCAATCAATATTGCCTCACGTTATTATGATGGTCTGCTAAAACACTATTTTTTCACTTTTTATGCTAAAAGATGATCTGCTTAACGATCGGTACCCATATGCTAAGCTGCCACTTCAGTACTTTTAGCACAAAAAAGCAAGTACTACAAATGTCCAGATTGGTTGAGGAATATATCACATCACGTCACTTTCCATTCCGAAAAAAAAGCAAACAAATTTACACGGGCGAGCTTAAAAAACCAAAAAAAAGTACACAGGCCAGCTTACAAGAACTACTTGAACAACTAAATAGATAAATATTTTTAAAATAATTTTTATTAATTTAAAGCGTACACGAACCAGTACCTAAGTTTTCGGCACCAAGAAAGCGAACGCTACTGAAAAAAAATCCGATTTTTTTCTGCTCGTTTGTTAAAATTTCAATTCCATGAATTTGGCGGTCGGTGTGATTTGAGCCATTTGCACGGAAACTGAAATCTCCAAACCCTTCGGCTTAGCTCGTGTAAATCATGAAATCCGATACTAAAAATCAATCGTGATGCCAATAAATAAGGAAGAAGATGCAAGTAACATACCAAAAAGGGAGCTGTTATTAACGAAAAGATTCTACTATTTGAGTTCGGTGTAATAAATATTGTCTAGGTAATTTGAACACACTACTAAGTAGTATTGAGTCTTATTAACGTTTTTATTAAACTTAAACTGGCTCAGAAAAATAAGGTTGTCCAAAAATATAATTTAACAAGACTGCGAAAGGTTATTATGAACTAACAAAAAATCAAGTTTTGATGAAGTTGTAATTCAACTGAACGAACAGTTCAACTTAGTCATGTTTCGAGCCATCTATCTATCCTGTCATGCAGCCAGCTATTCATCTAGCTACCAAGAAATGCCACTAACTATCAAGAAATGCATCCAGTCAAACAACCTAGCAGTCGTCCATCCATCTAGGCGTGAACTAATCCAATCATCTGTCTAACAAGTTATCCAAATATCCAACCTTCTAGCCATCAAACTATTCATGCTTCCATTCATTTCTCTATGCATACATCCACCCAACCATTCATTTATCTATACTTTCATCCACCCATTTAGCCATCCAACCAATTATCTAACGATTAAATCATCTATCTAAACATCCAACCACCAAACATCCATCAGACATCCACCCTACCGGCCATCTGTTATTTCAACCAGTCATTCAACAGTTCAGCGATCACTCAAGCCATCCATTAATCTAACCTCCTGTCTTGCCATTCATCGGTTCATCTATCGTACCATCCATGCAACAATCGATCCTCCACTCTATTAGTCCTTTTCCATACTCCCATTCATCCAACCAACTGGCCATCTATCAAGTTACCATCCATTTAGCCATCTATTCATTCATCCAACCAGCCATCGATTTATCAAGTCATCTCTCCTTCTAGCCAACCACCCATCTTTCCACCCATGAAGCCATCTGTTAATCTGGCCATCAATTGATCTAGCCTTTCAGCCAATCCATATGATCATCAATTATGATTATCAATTATGATTTTTTGGCTGTAGGGAGGGTTGAATAACGCTTGGAGACACTCAATGCACTAAGATGGCCTTAACAAAAACAAATAACTGATACTTAAAAAGTTTTTTTAATAACATTTTAGGTAATCGTTATTTGTTTTTGTTAAGGCCATCATAGTGCATTGAGTGTCTCCAAGCGTTATTCAACCCTCCCTAAAACCAAAAAATCATAATTTTTTGGGACCAGATTATGGTTTGTTCAGACGTCGTGGACCACAAAACGCTATTGTCAGACCACGTGGACCAAAGAAATCCGAATTCAGACCGTGTTGACTGAAAAAATCCGGTTCCAGAACGTGTTGACTGAAGAAATTCGGTTTTAGACTGTATGGACCGAGTGAATCCGGTTTACGACTGTGTGGACCAAAGAAAATTGGATTTAGACCGTGTGAACCAAAGGAATCCGGTTTAAGGTCAAAATGTCCGACAAAAAAAAATTAGGTTCACAAAAAAAAACTGTTCGGACTATGATTTCCAACAGACTTCGGAAGTAAAATTGTGGGGAATTCTAGGCCCAGTTTTATATTAATGAATCCAACAAATTTCTTAGTTCATACTACGGTAAAAAACCCGGAAATTAGATTCCAAAAAACAATTGATGAACATTATTTTGAGCTAATGAAAAAGCTCAGGGAACACAAAAACTTTAAAATGAAAAAACTAAGTGTTGTTTTTCTTGATGATAGCCTGTTTGGGTTGATTCCTATGTTCTTTAATAGTTTTTTGTTCAGACTTTGCAAACGTATGATCAGGCTTGAAGATATATGCTCAAAATTTGCAGTATTATATGCAGACTTTCCAATATGTTGTTTAGGCTTGGCAAGGCTTATGTTTAAGATTGTCATTCAGATTTTGCAGAATTGTGTTCAGACTTTTCAGACTTTGACATGAGTTTTCGGTCCGGACTCGGATCGATTTCGTTTTATAAAGTCTGAACATAAAAAGACGGGATTACATTTGACTTTTCAGCGACATCTTTTTTTTCGGTTACTTTTTTTTTGCATCAGAAGCACAATACGACAGAAACGATACAAAATTAAAGCCAATTGAGCATAAGAGGACGGCAATGAATCGCTCAGTAAATCCTTTGTATTTCCCTTCCTAGTTTCGAAGAATAAAACAAATGACTCGAAACTTTAACAGATAAGTACCCTGCTTTTTGTTAAGAGTTTATCTGAGATAGCTCTGTATTTAAGGTAATTATTTAATAGAACACTTATCTCGGTATATTTTTGGAATTCCAAAATTTGCAAAAAAAGCCATTATCTGCTTGTAAAGCAAATCTACAAAACTTTCTCCCAAACAACAGCAGAGTTTCATGGGTAAAAATTTATTCGTAATAGAAAAGGCTGTCTAAAATGTTGCCATTATAATTCTTTTCTGATACAACTTTAGACCATGAAAACGATTATGTTGTCACAATAGGAAATTATTTCCTTGAAAACACAAGCCATGAAAATCCATCAAAATGGATTCAATCAATTTAAAAATCACGATAAATTATATAATGATTATAATCTCTCTATTTCAGTCAGAATTATTTGCAATTTTTATTAATTCTACTCTACTTACGGCCTGCACGAAATCTAAACCTAATCAATTTTTTATTAAATGCGCGTTTGAGTCCACTGGTCCATGTGTCATATGCCGGACATTCGGTCAAAAGAGGGTCTTTATTGTGTTCTGGAATGCTCGACATGAAAAAATTTTGAAACTCCCCCAATTCGAAAAAATCATAAATCTGCCTTTGATAACTATGATGGCTGACTGAAGAAGATTTGGTTCAAAGATTTTTTTCATGAAGTGAGAACAATTTTTAAGTTAGTTGCTCTGGCTGGTTTTGGTATATTAGTTGTCGTTTAATTCTAGGCCGGTCTTTCTCGCAACAAAACACACAATTGTTCTCAATTATCTCCATTGTTCTCCCTTTGTTTTCCGATTATTCTCGCTTCTTCAGTTTGTGACTTCGGTGTGGTCCATTTTCCAGTTCCTTGAAAAATTTAAATTTTTTGAAATTTACTTCCAGGCAACTGGCAAGAAAAACTATAGTAGGATTATATAGTAGGAAGACTTAGAGCGACACATGTTGTGACTTTGTGCGACTCAAGTCTCTTGCGGGAGTATGAAACTTCGGTTGCAGAAAGTCCATTTCGGCGACCCAGTTCGGTTTTGCAACATGAGTCGCGGACCTCGGCCCGGGTGAGAACCAAATTATTTTCATCAAAAAAAATCATGGACCAAGTTAACATCATCACCCTTTCCTTTCTAAAACAGTCTTGCTTTAGAATGAGTGTTGTAATTTATATGAGCATATGGATTAAAATGGATTGAAACAGCTGCGACGTTAAGCAGTCCTACTGCGATTTAGAGAGTGGGTGGAAGATCTTAACCTGGTCTATTTATGGAAGAGGATGTAAAATTGTCCCAAGATCTTTTTAATTTTCTTTTTCGACAATTTATCCCATGCTTGATATATTGGCATAAAAAATCGTAGCAAGCTACATACACAAAAATCTCAAAAATATCCCTTCAGTAATAACCGCCATAACTTGCATTTTTTTGATGTTTGCATTGCTAAAGCATTGTCTCAATTATACTGATACGTAAGAAGAAAACTATGACTAACATATTTTTGTCAAACTGGAAGTTGCCTTGTCGAACCCGCGTTGAACTTACACCGACCGTCATATCGCTGATTCATCGCTATTTCATAGTTGAAAAATTTCACTCTGATGAAACAACAATGAATCAGCAATGATGGTCGATGCAAGTTCAACCCAAGTTGGACAAGACAACCCCGGGTTGAAAATTGAATGATGGCTTGCCTGGATGTATCTGGGCCTCCCTGATGGATGACGTCACAATCTGTCTCTTAAATTGTCTCCACTCCCTTTCACTTTCACTCCGAATGTACTCGTCCTTCAGCCACTCCTAGTTAATAAAATTAACAAGAATCATTGAGTAAAGAATTAGTTAATTAGTTAATGAGTAGTTAGGATGAGCAATGTTGCTTGCATCCGACTGGTCTTTGACGATAGTGTCTTAGCATAACCTAACCATATACCGTTCTTGTAACTTATGCGTCTTGTAGTGTACTGTACCATCAATCAACGCATACTTTTTGTTTTTTCGTCCCGTTTGAGCACTGCCCTTACTGACAAGAAATGGATCGATCGCAATAGAGTTTATACAGATAATGTAGCAAGCACCTGAGAAATCAATTTGAATTGGTTTAAAATTGATTTAGCGTGATCCTAAAAGTAGCTCAGAAAAGCAGTTTCATTCGATTCTAAATCCATTCTTTGGCCATTTAAGTAAATGTTTGACCAGTTTTTTATATATTCATTTTCAGGGGGCGGATCTGAAATTTTGATCCTTAGGACGGCAGGGGATCCCATTCCTGAGAGGGGGGCTTCCACTAAGCCCCCTCCCCCCCCCCCCCCCCCCTTAATTCACCCCTGTTCATTTTATATAGATTATATACAGATTACATTCAGGTTTTTCTGACTATCAAACATTAGAAAAAGAAATATAATTATAATGAATGTTTTCAAGTGACTTTTCGAGTTGACATTTGGCCTAAAAAAACTATGAGTGTAAGTAATATGTGAACTTTCTGCATCAGCAATGAATCGCTCTAAGCTGAAAGTTTCAAATAAAAGTCGTTTGCTTAACGAAAGTCCTTTTTATTACCGCGAGAACCCTTAGAATCGCAAAATTTAATGATTCTTTTTTGCTCTAAAAATGTTCGGTAACAAACTCTCTCGAGTGGCTCTTGCGCTCTGTAACGCTAATAAAGAATTTTCCTGAAGAAAAAACAAAAAAAAATTCATTCGAATGATTTTTGTTGAGATTTTTATGGATTTCAAAAATTTACAAAATTTCATTTAAATCATTTTTTCTACCATAGAAATCCATTCCAAATTGATTAAAATATCTATATTAACTAACGTGAATTGATTATCTGGCTATCTGGCTATATGTGAATCATTTATCGAATAACTTCTGTAGGATTTTTTTGAGAAAACTTTTATTGCCAAAAAAGAACTAAATGAAGTTTGCAAAACTAGTTTTCCTTTCAGTACTATCAAGTTTTCTTAAACTAATTGACCTACTCCCAAACTATTTGATCGCTATAATTGTTCAAAATTAGACTACAACTCAAAAAAATTCAAACCAGTTTTTTGTAACATTGGGATGCTTTTAAAATTTTTATAAAAATCGTTCAAATCAAGACCGACAGGGTTTTATTTTGATTTATCATTCCCATATCATACCCATTTCTGCGAGAAAAACAAAAAAACAAACCAAACAAAAAGTTTCTCCGCGATTTCATTGTTAGGAATAAAAATGGACAGTTTGTTCAATAGTTATTACCACCAATGTGACGAACAAATTAATTTTTTTGGGCGTGGTATTGGAATTTTGAAACGTTTAATTATTTCTGTTTATTTTTTAAAAAAATTGAGCCAGGCTGATTTGCGTTTTACTAGAAATTATGGAAAATTGCGCTTATACGTTAGCCCACATGAGCAGTTTTAAGGCCCATAGTTCCGCAAAAAAAATGATCATAGAAGCAATTTTTTTTAACTTTGATTAATCTTTTTTTTTCAAATGATATCGAAAAAACAAAAAAAGCCTTCATTGGGGAGTACAAATTTGTCTGGAGATAGAATTTTATCGAGTATAAACATTTCATCTTTTCCTGAGAAACAGGAACAACAATCAATTGATGATAAGAAACAGTCACCCGTTTTTTGCTAGAATTACGGATTTTGCTAAAACTTTTATTTATATATTTCAAATCTCTGTCCATTGGTTTGAACTTTGAAACATTCTTAAAATAAAGCATGAAAACATCGATAATAATGGCTAAAAAAATCAAGACGATGAAAACAAGACTGCTGATTTTTACAGTATTACAAAAATTACAAAACAGTTACAAAAAAATGACAATTTTTACATGTAACAAACGTTACTCAACATAGTCAATGATTGTTTGTGGTAGCTGATTTTGCGTAGAAAAAATCTAAAACCCTCCCGAATACAAAACTTTTCCCCATTTTCAATTTTCAATGGTCGGAACAAGAAGAAATCTGATATGATTGATTCGAGCCGATTATGGACTCATTTAGAATTTCGACCAACTGCATTGCCACTGCACTATTGAAAGAGTTAATGGCATTGCAATGCACAGTGACCTCAAAGTTAGGTTGTTTGAATACAGAATCATAAAAATGATGAAATACTCGAAAATTGAAAAGATTGAAATTAAATAGATAATTGTGTGCAACCTTACTGCTGTGTTCAAACCAGCAGGCTTCCTGCAAAGAGTTTTTAATGGATAATAATCGATTAAAAAGAATTTTTTCGGTCTGTGTCCACAAAAATCTAAATTAATTGATTTTAATGGATTAAAAATTGTTTATAAAAAAATAATCACTTTAATCCATTATAATCGATTAAAATGGATGTTAATGGAATTATATTAGATTATCAAGAATTATAATAGGTTTTCATGAGTTAGAACCTGTATTTTTCAAAACAAGTTGAAATTTTTTTTTTAAATTTAAACTTTGCAATCGCTAAATTGTGTTTTACTTTTGGCTACAGCTAAAAAATGGATTTTTTCCTTTTTTTTCTTTTTGACTTACATGAGCCGTAAAAATACGTGAAAAACACCGTCAACGCGTGCCTCTTCCCCCACCCCTTAGTCCCCCTCTTTTTGAGTTCTGCCCTAAAAATTGAGGAGAACGTTAAAGTTAACTAAATATGAGTAGGTTTAGAAATTGTGTAGGCTGTGAGTAATGCAGAAAAATCTGCGAAGTTTGCAGAAAGTTTGGAAAAAGTACATAGATATTATAATCAATTATATTCCATTATGATGGTTTTTAAATGGATTTTTATCGATATAATTTCTCGAAGAATAATGGATTATAATGGATTATGGGTCTTATGCACTAAACGGCGCAAATTCAATATTTCTACATCTCTCTAGCTGAAATTATTGTGGATGAATTTGATTGGCTAATTAGCCGATCAAGTTCCATCGACAATTTCTGCCATTTTAATTGAAATTTCAAGCAGATAAAATTATTAGCCGAAATGATAAAGAAAATTAAATTTTGTTTTGTCAAGCCATTTTACTGAAGTCTGCTTGTCTGGGCAAGGTTTCACAAGTGACTCAAAATTAATTCCACCTTTTCGGCAATTTCGGCTAATATTTTTATCTGCTAGAAAAGTTGATCGGAATGCCTGACCGTTTAACTTGAAATTGATTGGCTAAAATTACCCAATCAAGTTTGATCGCGTAATTTCCAGCTTACAATGTAGAAAAAATGATTTTGGGCCGTTTAGTGCATAAGACCATGGATTATTATCGATTGCGTGGTCCCAAAGTGTAATTATAATTGATTCTTATCCATGAAATCTACGGTTTGTCGAATAAAAAAAATTACTGAGGACCGCTTGTTTTCAATTTTTTTTGACTTTCGATTAATTAAAAGGTAGAATACATTATTACTTATAAGTTTATCTTATTGTTATCTTTACAATCATTAGTCCCACGTAGTTTCGGATCTACGTAACAATCTCCTCCTATTGTATCTACTAAAAAAATCCACCCCAATAAATAATACAGTAAATTAGCACTAGTGCTTGTATTGAGAATTCTAATTGTGCTGCATTCTGATTGGTCGAAAATTTCGACTAACTTAACCTACTTAACAATCTCCCCATCTTTCTTGAAAGGGGGGATTTTTAAGTAGAACTGTAGTTATTTACTGATTTTTATACCAATAACAAGCTGTTCCGCTTCGCTTGCTCATCGTGTTACAATCGGTTGAGATTTTTATTGACTTAGAATTGCGAACTGGTCAAAAATGAAAATTGGTCTCACCGAGTCCACATGGCCGAATGTCGGTTTGTTAGATTGTTGGATGAGACTCACTGTAACCGGGTTGAGGTCTGCAAAAACAACAAAAGAAACAGTTCTGGTTTTATAATTTTTGTTAAACCTAATAAAATTTCAATTGCCGAGTTCAAGCTCCATAATCGATTTTTAAATTTGTAAATTCAATTTTGGGGCAAGAAAACTTAAGACTGTTTTTTTTTTTATAGATTTCGTGCTTGAAAAATTTAATATAGATCCAAAAAGCGTACGAAAAATTATATTGATGCGGTTTTCGAAGGAAAAACATATCAAAAGTTGTACAATTTTGATAAATGGGTCTCTAGATTACTAAATTATACTTAAATGAATACTAACTGAAACAGTAATTACAAAAGCAATTCATTAAGCTATATATAGATAGGTCCCTGAAAAATTAAATTTGAATAAATATAAGTTTTGGAACGTTGTCAAGTTTGGAGGGTTCATATATCACACTTGCTTTTTCATTGGACCCAACTGTCATAGTGTAAGTCATTGATTACCTCTCAGTTTTCGTGGAGTAATGATGGCCATGAGGACAGGTGTGGCCGTGTGTATGGAACAGGTGCTGTTCATGTCCTCGATCACGCTGATCTCCCCCATGCTCAGGCCCTCCCCCAACTCACCAATCAACATTCGCTTCACACGGCGCTCCTAACATAAAAAACTATCTGGTAACAAGTCTATTCTACTTTCCTACTCACAACCAACTGTTTTTTTTTGTAGTTTTTTAAAGACTATGGTCCAAACATTCTGTGCTACTCGCACAGTTAACGGCTATCTTTGTTTTCTTTCAATATTAGTTTATATCTTTAAGTAGATATTATTTAAGTTTATATCTTTAAGTCAGAGATTAAAAACAGTGGAATTTATCGATAAATAAATCGAGTATATTGAGCGCTGACATTATGTTTTAATTGATGGTGCAAGACGAATTGATAGTTTTTGTTTTATTTCAATCATTGTTTATTTTGTTGAGTATATTTCTAAATAGAGATTAAATTCGAAACAAAACTGCTTGTATCAAGGCAAAATCTTCAATTTTCCCTCATCCTGATAAAAAAATTTGAATAGAAAAAGTTAATAAAAACTCAAAAAATCTTCAAAAAACACCATGTGTGTTAACCATCCCAAATTGACAGAACTTGAGCCCCCATAAATTTGCCAAAAAAAGTTGCAGCTGAAACGGATATGTGTTTGTTTTTAAGTTGAAGACATCGTTCGCTTTCACAAGATATAAAACCCCAAAAATGGCTATTTAAAAGTTCTAATTAGTCTGGGAAAACAAAACAACTTGCACAGACATCACGTCTTTTAATTCATCAAAAGTCAGAACAATAATTAAGTTTTTACCGACTAAAAATAGTCTAAGCTAGGAAAAAATTGAATCAGAAAAAATATATAGTTTCCAAAATCTGTTTTGTGAGAATTGATTTAGAATTAACTTCTGTCCAGAAATAGAGATGAAAACTTTAAAAAAACTAATCCAAAATAACAAGTTTGTTAAGTACGGGCAAACTGCACTTGACAAACGTGAATCAAAACAATTTTAAACCATTTTGAGGTTAAACTGTGCCAAGGATAGGCGCACAATTGGGTGTCTCCAGTTCACTGGCATCCATAGACAAGTCTTTAATTTTTCACTGAATTTTGAGCCTAAATATGTGTTATTTGATTTTTATGGGTACATCAATTTTTTTTACAAGTCCTCATATTTTCCTTGAATTTTGAGCTCAAGTATGTGTAATTTGATTTTTATGGGCACATCAGTTTTGTCTGAACAAGCGAATATAGCTAGATTTTCCGAGATTCATAAATGTAAGCAGATTCCGCAAAATGGGACGTTTTGCGGGTTCTGCTTAAATTTCGAGATTCCCTTTGTAATTTGTGGACTCCACTTACTCTTTAGAATTCCAAGACAACGTGTTTCTACAATACACGAACTGATCTGGATTCCGCAAAATTTTTTGGAGCAAATTTTACAGCACTTTTGAGCATACAGAGCAGTTTAGAGCAATTAAGAGCAGTTTAGAGCAATTTTGAGCGATGCGGTGTTTTTGTAATTTGTTCAGGGAACCCAAAACAGCAAAGAGGATCAAAGAAATCTTGCGGACTCCGTGCCAAATCTGTATTCTGCGTGTTGCGGAAATTGCCCACAATTCACACAATACACAGTTTGGCCTCGTAAGGCTCAGGTTTAATTAGAACGCAAGTAGATCGTTAGACGCTATTTTAGAACCTACTGGTTCTAAGGGTTGTTATAAAACTGGGTAAAATAAGAGGTGGGATTCAAGTGAAGGATGAGTAACCGAAGTTCTTCCTTGTTTAGCTTAAATTAAATGATGAGTTCTTGAAGAAAAGGTTTTCAGTTAGTCCTGGATCGTTCAGAAGGGTTGGAAAGTGAATCGACGTTTTAGGTAATTAGACACAGAAGTAAAGGAATGAATTGAAATTAAAATCCATGAAAAAATTTGATGATTCAAGTTTAAGAAAGAATAAATTTTAAAGCTTAGAGATTCAAGATCCAATGTTAAGCCTTGATGATCGGGTTGAATTAGTTAAGTTTAAGGATTTAATGTTTAAGATCAAGAAGAACCAAAAATAATGATAATCAAAAAGAAACTTAAGATTTTAATTGGTTAAAGATCCAACGATCTTGATGATCTTGAATTCAATTAAGTTAGTTTTTAAAATATTGATTGTTTTAGGTAGAGAATTTAAGAATTTGAAGACAAGAAGAGATCAAAATCCTCGAAAACAAGGAATCTTCACCAAACAAACAAAATTTTATCTTTATACTAATTTTGTTGTTTGTGTTTTTGTAATTTTATAATTTGAATAAAAATTTATAGAAAAGTCACAGCAGATATAAAGTTTGAAGTAGTAAAATTTTTTTCAACGTCTGGTTTGGCTTAATATTTTTTAGTTATTCATTAATACAGTGTATTTTTTAAGTGCAATACAGTGTTTATTAAGTCCATTGTATGTTTTTTCTGCAATTTTTTTTGTCAAAATTAGCTTTTTTTATCGGGAAATATCCTTAAATATGAGGATGCATAACGAGAAAAACCGTTAGTAGTATACAGGATTATGTAATTCTATGATATTACAAGAGATTTCATTTAGAACACATTCATGTGACCTTTATTCATGAGCTTAGCTCACAGAAACCTCGTTAACTTTTGGTCTTTCTTAAACGAGATCGAGCCTTCTGTTATAATGCATTTGTTGCAATTCCTTGTGAATTGCTCTAATCAGAGAACAATTTCTAGAGCACGGGAAATCAATTTGGTCGACTGTTTTTTCTAAGTTACTTTTTTTAAAGTATCTTTTTTTGAAGTTTTATTTGGAAAAGAATATGATTTTTTTTTCATGACGACCAAATTGATTTTCCGAGCTCTAAAAAAGGACTGTCGATGCAAAGATCTCTGCGACGCCACTAGGGTGTTAAATGCAAATAATTACCCGTTTGCCCGTGATCAGTTTGTGCATGGTGTCTATGGTCCTGTATGCCTTGCAGGTCCCACTGGCCACGATGCCTATAAAGGGGGCCACTCTATTCTCTTCTACCAACACTGAAACGAAGAAAAAAACATTTGCTATCAATAAGTTATTTACTACAGATTTTTCAGCTATATTGTCTATAAATTGCCAAATTTGACGATAAAAGGGTTTGGTTCTTTTTAACAGACAAGCATTATTTATTTGATAGTATTTTGATTGGTATTAGCCATTTATTATTGCCAGCTGATTTTCTGATGCAAAAACTGTGACTAAGTTTAACTTTTAACACTTTTGGCCTAATAAACAAAAAAACACTGCAAGTCGCTAAACATTTTTTTATTTCCGGCAAAAACATCTTAAATTTATGTATAGCAATCTAAGTATCTGCAGGAAAAATTCGTTGTTTTTAAGCAACAATAATAACCTCCCCCTTACAGCGCGCATTAATCTTCTTTACCTGAGAATCTAATGTTATTGTGACTTTTGTGGTTTCAAATCAAATCAAACCCTATTTTTGGCTGACTCACTTTCGTCCTTGGGGAATGTAACCCACTCTAACACATGTGCTATTTCCTCCAGGGACATCTGAGGCCACTGGGAGTACTGTTCACACTTCCGCAGAAGAGACAACTTCTCCATATGGTCGGCTGCATTCATCTTCTATACAAACATCACAAAGTCAATGAGCAGAACAATGTATAATTTTTCTGTTTTCCATGAACAGCTTTCTAATAACTTTTCTAATTCCCTACCAGTGGGGCTCGACATATGTTTCGTTTTTTTTTGTCGGTCATTGTTTCTACAGTCTCAACAACAAATTGGTAATTTTCGGCTCGTAACCCATTTTTTTTCACGTAAACGGAGTTTTCTGTGCTCTCTGTGCTTTCTGTGCAGCGGAAACTGAGTTTTTCTGTGCTTTCACAATTCAGTTTAAACTTTGGCCCAAAAATTGATAAACAAAAAATAATGACAGAAGCTTTGTAAAGTAATAATCCACATAGTTTCTAGTTTAAAAATTGCATTGAAAAAAAAACTAAATTTCTTGCTTCATATATATTTGAATTGATATGAAAGCCGAATTATTTAGAGGGAAGCGCAAAACAACGAAACATAACCGCGCTTTAGTTATTCCAATTAAACAATCTACCATTATTATCCTAAATTGGCTAATTACAAACTCCCATAGTTAAACGAACAATATGCAGATAAGTTTTTTTTAAAACTGGGGCAAAACTTTTTTTATACAGCATGGTAATAATTTGTTTAAAATGCTAGTAGCTACATAAGAAAAGTTTTTGGAAGAAAACATCAGACCGAGTACAATTTTTCCTTCTTTTTCCTCAAAAATTGGGGGAAAACCGCATCATCTATTATAAGTTATCGTAAAATAGCGCTTGTCGTTATTAATATGCATTAAAAAAAACTGTTCAGAAAAATTTAACAACACAAATCTAATATAGACTGGAAAAGTCAACTCGTATTATATCAAAAGCGATTTTTATCACAAAAAAAAATTGATAAAATTGAAAAAAAAATTCACCACTAATGATTGGAGACAATGAATTAAGCACAATAGGATTTAAAGGACCAAAAAATTATGAAATAAGAACTGACTTGAAAACATAACAAAAATATTGTTACAAAACGAACATTCGACCTGTATTTTGAATCTGTTGCTAACAAAATAACTTTTACTTCGACTGTGTTCGACGTTTGGTTTAACAATGCTTGACCCATGCTTTGGCTGTGTTTGATCTGTGTTTTGACTGTGATGTACTCCTGTTTCGACTGTGCTTGGCTTCTAGTTCGAATTCATTTAACCGATGTTTCGACTGTGCTCGACCTATTTTTGTTCGTGCTCGAACTATGTTTTGATTATCCCCCAGTATATATTTTGATTGTTTTGATCAGTTTGATTTTTTTTATTTGAGTAAAATCAAGTTAAAATTTTAATGATTGTTTTTCCAGTGAGTTTTGTGGTGATGTTCGATAGTAAAATAGCTGTTAGAATCATAGAATTTAGACAGCCAAAACTTTGACAGCAAAAACTAATTAATCCAAATTGATTTTTTAAAACTTGCTTTGCTTCTTTTTACAGAAGGACACTAAAAATTTAGATCTGAAAAATGACAATTGAGGAAAAAATTCAAATTTTACTTCTTCCAACCGAGGGAATCCTAACATTTCAAAACTCTAATGAGGTTCTCTAACATTATTAGTTTCCGCTTAGCAACTCTCCTAAATTGGTTGTTGCTGAAAGCTGCTTTTTGACGGAGGTCTTTTTTGAGCAGGTTTATTTGCTAAATTTCCAATTCTGTTAAAAATTTGCTTTATTTTTGTCAGCAAATTTGGATATAGTTTGACTGTGCTTGACCTATGATTGATTTTTTTGTCTGGAACCGGATATATTTCGACTTTATGCTGGGCATAAAAATTTTTCTTGGCGTCGGCTTGTCAGTCGCAATTCTGCAACTTCTTGTTTTTTTTTTAAATCAAAGCATTGTCACAGATTTTGTCGACTATCTGGAGTTCAATGAAAAAATATGTTTTTTTTGTAATTTTTCTAATCACACTCTAAGGTATATAATTTGACATCATTGAAAAATTCTCTGCTATTTAATTTGCGCTCTGATTTTGAAAACGTAACACGAATTGTTTATGCATGTCTATCCCACATTCGAAACCGTTTGAAAATTAAAACAAACAATTTGGCCTTTAAAAAGCTCCAATGCGGCTCAAAACTTAACACTTAATGTCTGATACTGTCTGTCCAAAATCAAATAATTGTCAAAATTTTTTTCAGCGAGACATAAATCTTAAGGCCGAAGCTAAAAAAAAAAATTTTTATATATAAAACGTAGGTTCTGGTTCCTTGATTCCCAAGCATCTTCCAAGTAACAAGAGTGAGCGGCTGCAGTGCAAAAATTAAGGAACGTCAAGACCACAATTAATTCGGAGAATAAATTTAAAAATCAGGAAAAATTTTAACTTCTGAAGTCAACGTTTCTTCAAAAATGGCAATTGAGGGAATGAAAAGTGCTCGAATAAGAGGTAATATAGCTAAGCGTCACAAAGTAAGAAGTGGTTATATATCTAAAACGACTTATTAATTATACCTGGTGTCATGAAATATGAGTCCAGTGTCGTAAAACTTTGTGAGATTTGGTCATAAAATCAAAAAATCAATATCGATATTTATCGAAAATGATTGAGTTTCTATGAAATTCATTGTTTGAGTTCAAATCCGTCGAAGCGTGCTTTAATTTTATACTCCCTCCGACCCCTCTCTTTGAGTTAATCTAAATTAGGCAAAAAATAAATTTAAATGCCAGAGTTCTATAAAACTCCGTAAAAATGAGGGGAACAGAGCAATAATAAATCATTATTGTCATAATAAAAAATTGCGTGAATGACAAAGAGACAAGTCTGATTCAGACATTGAAATTAAAAGGCAACAAGACAGCTCAACCAAGTCAAAAGCCAAGACTGTCCCTTTATTCATATCCAATAGTTTTTGGGAAAAGAAAATATTGAAAACCTATAAATTTTTGAACATTATTAAAATATGAAACGTTGAGTGGTACAAAATTAAAACGACCGATTAGATTAGCTACCCTCAATTCGAACTGGAACGATTTTGTTGTGTTGGATAATTCACCACGCATAAATAAGTTGCGTTACGCTCTCAGCAATATGAAAAAAATCTTTAAAGCGCGCATAATTTAGTCCAGAACATGGCCAATTTGGCAATTTCCAAACCCCCAGAATTTTACAAAAAAACATCGGATGTAAAAACTCTTTTAAGAATTGAATTCAAGAAATTGGTATCTTCAATGGGGTAGAAAAATGTTTGTCGAAAACTATTATTTCGATCAGCAAAAATTGACTGATTTAAAAAAAACCCACCGAGCATAAATATTCCGTTTTCTTCGAAAGTCGGAACAATTACGAGAGACATTAAAGCAAACAAAGCAGAAGCAAAATAGAAGAAAATTATCAGCCGAATTTTGAATCATTTTTATTACAGCAGTTGGTCTTGTTTTCATTCGATATAAAGGCAAGAATGTTGTGAAACAGTCATCCAATTACCCGCCAAAATGCTTTCAACTTACGCAACCAAAATGCTTTCAACTTTTTTCGGATAATATTCGACTTTTTAACTTGCTGTTTTTGACGGAATTCTTACCTATCATTCAAAAGGTATTGTTGTCTTGAGCTTAAAATTGAAAAAGTATTTCACCTGTGTTGATTTTTCGTTAGGTTATGAGGGTTTAAAGATTGCCATTTTAGCCAATTTGGGATAATTAGCGCGCGATATATTTTTCGCAACTAACGCGTAAGCGGAGGTTTATTCCGTCTTGGAAATTGTTCAAAATTGGTTGAAGGAAGCTTATTTTTGATTTTTAGGAGCAAAATCTATCCTTTTTGGTTCTTTTGTACTTTATAATTGATTTGTTACTTGATTTGATACTTGGTTCGTTACTAGGAGCATAATAAATTTGTTACTAAGTACCACTTAGTATTTTATATGGCGTGTGGGGGATGATTTTCACAAAAAATTTCAAATTAAAAAAAATTCGTTTTGTTCTATTACATTTAATTTTTCCGGCTCTTTTTCCTTTTCCCCCCACCTGCAAATTTTTTTATTAAATTTTTTGACACCATTGTCCGATTGCTATGAGATTTACATACAGACTAATTAGGGCACGATAAACATATTTGGTCTTCATACTCAACCTCGTAAAACCACTCGTTACACTAATATATTGAAGGTCGTGTGAGGTGGGGGGGGATGAAAAAGAGCCATTTTTTCATGTTTTTACTGCTCCATAGACCTTAAAAAGCAGTCGGTACATTCAGGGCTTCGCCCTGATACGAGCGGTCTTTTTTTATGCTCGTTATTAAGTTCACTGTCTATATTAGACCCGTCTTCTTGTCATTCACCAAAAATTGGTTTACTAGTGGTAAAAAAAATAGTCCATATGAATAAACAAAAACTAGTTAATTGAATTCTATGCTTGTTGAAGTCTGCGAATTGACGAGACAGGAAAAAGTTGACCTTGATGAGGTTCTCGAATGCAGATGAAGATATTTTGAGCAGTTCCACTCCTGGCTGACAAGTCATGGCTGACAACACCCTGAACAAAACACCATAGCAAAGTGGACTTAAATATTATGTCATAGCTGGTAAACTCATCCGTCTTAACGGAAAATTTCTATCTTATAACTTTTCCACACATAATCCCCCACCAGCAAAATGGATGGGAAAAAGGCTACAAGGGGAAGTACCCGTAAAAACGAAGGTATTTACCTTGAATTCACGCTTCTGTCGGGTAAACTGTACAACGTGCCGAAACACTCCCCGACACCGATCTGAAACGGCCATATGTTTTAACCTGCTCCTCTATTGACAAAAAAAAAAAAATTTTTTTTTCAAACTTAGTTTCAAGCGTTTGTTCTGTGATATAGCGAGGTACTAATCGAGCTTAAAATGACACCTGACACCTAAGATGAGATACAATCAAGCAGATTTTGGGTCGCAGTTGTTGCAAAGCTTGGTCCAAAAGAACGGTATTTGGCACGACTTTCTAAGTCTACTTTAAGTCGTGGACAACGACCTGCATAAGAAACCGCTTGCTCGGTGGTTCATAAATCGGCCGAATTACGAAACTATCTACCATATAAAACCAGAAAACTTAGTAAGTTTCAACATCAATGACGTAACTTCGTTTGTCTTTTTTCACATACATTGATTGCATAATCGAGCTCTTTTCCACTTTCCCCCCACATTTGAATTTCAAGTTTTATAAACTATTTTTACGTTGTCATAACGCAATGAAAATTTGCACGGTGAGCAAACTAACAATTGTGAATAGATTTTGTCTTCATAATTTACATCGTAATATCACGGGTTTAGCTGTTTATAGCTCGCGTAAAACATCTATAAAAATGGAAAATTTGAAAAGTGGGAGGGGGAGGGGGTAGAAGATCCCATAATTGATTAACGCATACCGTGAACTCGCGTGGGTCTTTGAGAAGAGGAGTGGGCTGTCTGAAGAGAGTGTCCTCTCCCCCCTCCTTGTCCCTCTGTCTTCGGATGGAGGGTAGGGTCAGGGGACTGAGAGACCCCCTCAGCACCATGAACAGACCCTGGTTGCCAAACACTAAAAAAACAGCTCTCTTTTTCTTTTTCCTCTCCCCGTAAGTGAATTTATATTCATTCCCCACCTAGCAACTTGGCTCTTTTCCCCTTTCTCCCACCTTTCAGTTTCAGTTTTGAAAAAAAAACATGTTAACGTTGTCATAATACAATGAGACTTGGCATGGTGGTTCTTTTTCCTTCCCCCCCCCCCCCCACCTCCCACGATCATCAATTTTATGATGTAATGAGTGGTTTTACAAGATTAAATATGAAGACCAAATGTGTTTGGCACATCCTAATTAGTCGGCATGTCATTTTTCATAATGATCAGACGATGCGAACAGTAATTTTACTTGTAAAAAATTGCAGGTGGGGGGGGGGGAAGAAAAAGAGTCGGCATGGTCAATATATTTCTTGGCTCTTTTTCCTTTTCCGGCTCTTTTTCCTTTTCCCCACCTGCAAATTTTTTTTTTGAGTAAATTTTTTGTTTACATTTTAGGGTTGTTATAAAATTTGGCATCCGGAATAATTCGGCCATAACAATCATATTTGGTCTTCATACTCAACCTTGTAAGACCACTCGTTACACCATGAAATCGATGTTTCTGTGAGGTGGGGGGGGGGGGGGGAGGAGGAAAAAAGCCTCTTTTCCCCCCAACTTCAAACGAGAATCAATTTTTTGGTCTAACGAATGATTTTACAAGGTTATTTATCAAAACCAAATATGTTTGTCATGGCCTAATTTATCTGCATGTCAATTTTCATAACAATTGCACAATGTAAACAATAATTTTTGATTAAAAAAACTTGCTAGTGTGGTGGGCGGAGGGGCAGAAAAACAGAAAAAGAGCCTATTTCTTCATACCTTACAACGTAACAGTACGCGTTTACCCATAATCACACGTAAGACAACTATTAAAATAGAAAGTAAGTTTGCAAGGTAGAGGAAGTGGAAAAAAGTCAGAAACTTTTTGTTCACATAGTCTGATTGCTACAAAATTGGCACGCGGACTAATTAAGCAAGCATGACACCAAATATGGTTTTCATTTTTGTACTTGACAATTTAAAAACAACTTGCATAGAGAGAGGGGGGGGGGGAATCGAGGCCACAATCTCACAATAATGATGATGCAAACTTTTGACAGAAAAGATGATTTTTAGTTGCAAAAAAAATCTCCCGCGGAAATTATTTTAGACCGCCTAATTTTTTTTACAACTTTTGATTTTTCAAATCTTATTTTAATAGTTCACAATCCTAATTTTGTTTTCAAAACAAAGTCGTTCCGGCGATTCAAAACCCAAAAACATTCAGACAACAGAAAAATCAGATAACACTAACAAACTAAACAACAATTTATTGATTCATATATCTGCCACATATTTCATAACGACGAAGGTGTTCCACAAGAACTTAAAAAAGGTTTGTGTATAAAAAAATGCTTTACTCTTATGCCGTTTCCTTACGTTGAACTCGAACCTTATAATTTTCTGTTTCAGTTGCAGAAATCTATTGAAAGGTGCACCTACGCCAACAGAAATCTTTCGGCTCTTTTTCCTTCCCCCACCCCCTACCCACCTCACACGAGATTCAATAAATTTGTGTAACGAGTAGTTTTACGAGGTTGTATAAGAAACCAAATATGTTTGTCGTGGCCTTATTAGTCCGGATATAAATTTTCATTGCAATCGGACTATTTGGTCAACAATGTAAAATTTTGCAGGTGGGTGGAAAAGGAAAAAGAGCCAACCTTTCATATGAGTCCAAAAAATGTCCAGGAGCGAACATAATGGTTTTTATATGCCCCTTCCCTGAGTTTTTGATAAAATAACATTTGTTCGAGTGGTTCAACTGTCAAATAAAATAAGCAGGTTAAACTGCCGCAGGTTGAAATTTCAGCACCTATTGTTTCCTTATTCACATTAAAATTTCGGCTCTTTTTCCTTTTCCCTCACCTCATGTAAAGCATCAATTTTATGGTGTAGCGAGTCGTTGTGTAATATTTAGTACGACGACAAATTATATTTGTCATGGCGGCTCTTTTTCCTCCCCCCCCCCCCCGACCTGCAATATTTTACCAGTAAAGTTACTGTTCACATTGTCCGATCATTATGAAAATTGACATGCGGACTAATTAAGAAGTGCCAAACACATTTGGTCTTCATATTTAACCTTATAAAACCACTCGTTACACCATAAAATTGATGGTCGTGGGAGGTGGGGGGGGGAAGAAAAAAGAGCCGTCATGGCATAACTAGTCCGCATGCCAAATTTTGTAGCAATTGGAAAATGATAACAGAAATATTACTTATAAAATTTAAAAATTTGCTAGTGGGAGGGGTGGGGAAGAGCCGTTTTTCTTAAATTAAGAACAAATGTCGGTTCAACTTTCCAATTTAGACAAAAAATCTCATTTTAGATGAAACTTCTCATTTGTTTTGTGGTGCTGGCTGTGTGTGCTGAAGCGTTCAATAAATCAGTCACTTATGAAAAAAATGAAAGAAGAGGATTTCTGGGAGGAATTCTCAATGATATTAAATCTAAATATGGCAGGACTAAGAATATGCCTTATGACCGAGATCTCAGTGACCTTGAGTTCGAACCCAGAAGGTTTCCAGGAAACAAACAGGAAACAATCGATGACCTTGTAAAGAGTTTGGGACGGAAAAAACTAAAGCTGGCAATTTTCTTTTGAACAAACTTGGAATTAACTTATTTTTCTTACTTTTATTGTTTTCATGAGCCACAATAACTGGAAAAAGTTTCCCATACAATAATAATATGTAAAAAAATTTTGTGAAAATTTGTTCACTTTTTTTACTCTGACATGTTTTATTGGAGTTAAAAATGTCGCAAGTCATTTAAATAGTCTTTATCTTGTACAAAACATGCCTGCCCTAATTTTGAGGCTTTCTCTTTAACTGAAACTAGTTTTGAAGCGATCGTACAATTCAACCAGTCCTGGTATTTTCAGATTTTCAGATCCTATTCTTGTGTATTTCTAGACCGTCGCGGGCAATTGATATAACCGGAGATTGCTAGCCATGGATATGTTTCTGAGATTGAAACGACCCAGAAAAATTTAGCCTAGACATGGGATCTTTTCCTTTTTCACCCAACTTTTCAAATTTTATATTAATAGTTTTTTTACGTGTCATTCAGGCTAAAAGTTGTGTGTTACGATGTAAAGTATGAAAAACAAATATATTCACAATCAATAGTCAATCTTTAGACACATTCGTTTTATGTCAACTAAAATTGAAAGGGGGAGTGGAAAATAGCTGAGACCGGTGTAACTAAAAAATTCACCTTTTTTAACTAAAAAAAATCACGAGCATCAGTTTTATGGTGTAATGAGTGGTTTTACAAGGGTTATTATAGATACCAAATTTACTTGTCATGGCTATATGAGGCCGAATATCATGTTTCATAACGATCGGACAATGTGAACAGTAATTTAATTTATAAAAGTTTGCAGGTAGGGAAAAGGAAAAGAGCCAGAAGTTTCACGGTTTTTGGTGATACAATTTAGCAATGCGTGATTCAATATAACAACCTTTTATTTCAAAAAAAACATTCTGTTTTTTCTTTTCTTTCATTGAAAGTTAGAGTTTTTTTGTTTTGAAAATAACACTTCACAAATTATTGGCAAAAGCTACCACTTCATAACTTTTTGGTTTGAAACAAGGGCGCTTTTCCAGTTTCTCCCCACCTTTCAAAATACCGAGTTTATAGTTTGTTTTACGTGTTATTACGGCTAAATGGATGTTACGCTGTAAAGTATGAAGAACAAATCTGTTCACAGTTGTTGATTTGTTCTACACGCCAAATTTCATTGCATTATGACAAGGTAAAATAAGCTTTTCAAAGTTGAATTTGAAAGGGGTGGGAAAACTGGAAAAGAGCCGAAACAAGATGAGGTATATTGGAAAAAACCACAGTATTTGATTGTTTGTTTATCTTTGTTATTTCTCCGCACACGATGTGCTAATTAGACAAAAATCAAATATAAGTCTGATAACTTTTCAGTTATACCAAATTCCTTGCTTCAATTCACTTTGGAGAGGTTTAGCTCCCGTTCACGCTTTAATAGATCAAAGTAATCGCGCGCTTATTATCCTAAACTGCCAGTCTTTGAAGTTGGTCTTCTTTAAAAACATTGTCGGAGGGCATTTTTTTTTCTTCAAATTTTTAGTTTATGACCACAATAGCCTACGGATAACTTTTTAAAAAAAATTAAAAGCTCTTTGTTAAACAATCAAAATTGTCTCGTGAAAACAAATTTCACCGAGCCCAATTTTCATTACTATTCAAAACCATTATTAAAAAACCTGTGGTTGAAATTCTCAAAATATATGAATTTTTGAGATTGTTTTGCCGACTTTTCAACTAGCCGTTTTCAGGGGATTGTGTAAATCACTTGGAAATTAGGCTCATTTTCTTTTTCCCGCGAAATTTGAATTTAAAGTTTGAAATTTTTTTTAACGTTGTCTCAATGCAATGAATTTTTTGGTTTACATGGTGAGCAAACCAACAATTGTGAACAGATTTGTTCTTCATGATTGACATCGTAACAGCACGCATTTAGCCGTTATAACAAGTAGAATATCTATCAAATTGGAAACATTGAAATCTGGGGGGATTGAAAAAGAGCCGGAAATAACTGATGCTCTAAGTTCAAATATAACTTTTTGACAATTTCCGTAGAAATAGAGGGTTTGAAAGTAGTATTTTTGTCAATACGAGCAGTTTGGGCCGTTTTGATTTTTCTGAGGGGTGTGGAAAATTGGAAAAGAGCCGAAATCTCGATTAAATGACTGATTTTTCAGTAATTGATTTGGGCTCTTGTTTCTTTACCTCCCACTTTCCCTCTCACCTGCAACTGATTGATTTTTCAGTAATTGATTTGGGCTCTTGTTTCTTTCCCTCCCACCTGCAAAAATTTACTAGTGAAACTTTGTTCACTTAATTCGAATGTTACCAGAATCTATCGAGTAAATTTTTTTAAACCGCTCACATTCTC